AATGATGTAGTCTTGCCACTCGTGTTTACCGTCCTGATGCGCGGCGATGCGGCGGTGCCAAGATTGATGGATCCAGCCCTACGGTGCCTGGAGATCTTGGAGATGGCTTCAGTCCTATATTTCCCAATTGGGACGTCGGACCAATGACGGGGGCCAAAAGCGGCGTTGGGCGAGGGGGCCGCAGCTACTGGCCTGGCTGCTGTAACACAGACAGCCTGATGCCACAATGGAGGATTTCAGCTGGGCCAATCTGGCTACATGTGTCTACTAGACTATAATCTCACTCTTTCCATCACCCAGTCCGCATAGTTAGTCGTTGAGTTGCTCTCTATATCTTTCTCCTGGAGCGCGTGAGCTTTAAAGCTTACAGTAGCATCAACATGACTGACCTTTGCGACTCGACGTCATTTTTGCCATCTCCGCAGTTGCTCTTGATAAGCTCAGCTCTCCCTTGCAAAGCATACGCCCCACCCCACTAAAATTCCTTGCGCCCTTGGGGACCGGCCATAGCGCAATTCTTTTCTCGTGAACGTGAACGGCCATGGACTTCAACTTCTAGAAGATCCTCGTCTTCTTCTGCCCTATTCATCGCTGCAAGACCAAACCACTCGGCGCTCTGTCGCGTTTCTTTAATGTCGTCCCAACACGTATGAGAGCACTCTACTCTGCCGCTGGCCAGCTCCAGCGAGCTCCAGTAGCGAGCTTCGCTCGGCTTGCTCGCCACCGAGGACGTCGCATTGCGTGGGAAGCGCAGTCGCGATGGCTCGCTGATGTGGTGCAAAGGGCTGAATCCAAGGATGCCAAGTCTCTAGCTTGTAAGATGCTTGCGACATTGTCTGCGTTGCGATTTCGACATTGGTAGCTGATCTGGCAATAACAGTGTCTTCCACTTCGCGATACAATGAAGTTGGTGTGCAGCAACTCAGCGATCACATCTTCCCCCAGATATTTCCTGGGGGCTCCAAACCGCCGCCTGAGGAGCTGGTAATGCTGTCAAGAGATCATTTGAAACGGCACGACCTCTATGGAAAGAACACGGATACCTCTGAACCTGTCGCTTTCGATCTGCCCGAACTCAAGGGCCAAACCCTCGACGAACATTTTCACAGGCTTGGGATCGATTGCGCCGAACCATATTTGCGGCTTGCTAAAGAATTTGCGTGTGCAAATGTCCCTCTCAAGCCCAAACAATGGGCACACCGAAGTGGCTGGACCAAGTATCACTCTGATGGGACACCACCGGAGTCGGTAGAATCCCCCAGCGAAGAGATGCTGTGTTTTGACACCGAGGTCATGTACAAAAACCACCAATTTGCAGTAATGGCTTGCGCAGTCAGCCCCACGGCATGGTACTCTTGGCTATCTCCTTGGCTACTGGGCGAGACCGACAACGAGCGACAACTAATACCGATAGGGGACCCAACCAAGGACCGTATTATCGTGGGACACAATGTTGGCTATGACAGGGCAAGAATATTTGAAGAGTACAACCTGAAGCAAACTAGAACTGGATTTCTGGATACCATGTCGCTGCACGTTGCTGTTAACGGCATGTGCTCACGACAACGGCCGACCTGGCAGAGATTCAAGAAAAATCGAGAGATGCGAGAAAGAGTCGCCAGCAAAGATCCTGATCACGGCATGGTTGAGCTTTTGAGCAATCCTAGCATCCACGAAGAGGAGGAGCTGTGGGTTGAGAAAAGCTCAGTCAACTCACTGCGGGATGTCGCCAAGTTCCATCTCAATGCCACCATCGACAAAAGTACACGGGATAACTTTGCCGAGACCGACCCCGAGGTCATACTGAAGAAGTTGGACCAACTTCTGGAATACTGCGCTGCAGATGTGTCCACCACTCACAGAGTTTATCAAATCGTTCTTCCCAGCTTCTTAAATGTTTGCCCACACCCAGTCAGTTTCGCTGCCCTGAGGCACTTGTCATCCGTTATTCTGCCGGTCAACGAGACTTGGGAGCAATACATCGCTAATGCCGATGCACTATACAATAACCTCCTTGAATCGGTCCAGAAGAGGCTGAAGGATCTGGCAGAGAAAGCTGAGGAGCTAAAGGGCAGCCCCGAGATTTGGGAAAAAGACCCCTGGATGATGCAACTGGACTGGTCAGTACAAGAGGTTAGAATGGTCAAAGGCAAACGCAAGAATGACCCACCAGTACCAGATGCAAGACAGAAGATGCCAGGGAAGCCGAAATGGTATAAAGATCTCTTTTCCAGTAAAGACGCTCCCATGAATCTGACGGTGCGAAGTCGCATCGCACCTTTGCTATTGAAATTGGCTTGGGATGGGCATCCATTATTCTGGTCTAACAAGTATGGCTGGGTGTTTCGAGTCAGCCCAACCGATGTGTCTGGTTACCTCGCAAAGAAGATGCCAGAGTGCGTCTTTGATGACTCTGACCCTGCCTTGCGCGCCGATTGGGGGCACTCATACTTTAAGCTCCCTCATAAAGATGGTCCCACCGCGCGCTGCTCAAACCCTATGGCAAAAGGATATCTCAACTATTTCGAAAATGGAACCTTATCATCAGAGTATGAGTATGCTAAAGAGGCACTGGAAATGAACGCCTCTTGTTCCTACTGGATAAGCGCGCGCGATAGGATAAGGTCCCAAATGGTGGTCTACGAAAACGACATACTCGCCGCTACAGAGGGTAAAGCGATGGAGGCTGGTGAAAAGCGGCAAGGCTTTATCTTACCCCAAGTTATTCCCATGGGTACGATCACTCGGCGAGCAGTTGAGAAAACCTGGCTCACGGCAAGCAATGCCAAGAAGAACCGTGTTGGGTCTGAGTTGAAATCGATGGTCAAAGCTCCAGATGGTTACTGCTTTGTGGGTGCCGATGTAGACTCGGAGGAGCTGTGGATTGCTAGCCTGATGGGCGATGCGACGTTCAAAATTCACGGCGGAAATGCAATCGGTTTCATGACGCTTGAGGGGACAAAAGCTGCAGGCACAGACCTGCATTCGCGGACAGCGGCAATCTTGGGTATCACTAGAAATGACGCGAAGGTCTTCAACTACGGGCGTATCTACGGAGCTGGGCTGAACTTTGCTGCCACTCTCCTACGACAATTCAATCCTGCACTCAGTGAAAGCGAGACAATGACGATTGCCCAGAGACTCTACGCCAACACGAAAGGCACCAAGACGATTCGCAGGGTCATAAACCAGCACAAATTCTGGAGAGGTGGGACGGAGTCATTTGTATTCAACAAACTGGAAGAGTTTGCGGAACAGGATTGGGCCCGAACACCGGTGTTGGGAGCTGGTATCACACAAGCGCTTATGAGCCGCTTTGTGAGCAAGGGTGGCTACCTGCCTTCCCGCATCAACTGGGCCATTCAATCCTCGGGCGTCGATTATCTCCACCTGTTGATCGTTTCCATGGATTACTTGATCCGCCGGTTCAACCTCGATGCTCGGCTGGCCATCACAGTCCACGATGAAATTCGGTATCTGGTGAAGAATGAGGATAAATACAGGGCTGCACTTGCGCTCCAAGTAGCAAATGTTTGGACCCGCGCCATGTTCGCGCAACAAGTGGGCATAAACGATCTCCCCCAGTCCTGCGCCTTCTTCTCTGCCATCGACATTGATCACGTTTTGCGCAAAGAAGTCAACATGGACTGCGTTACTCCAAGCCATAAAACCCCAATTTCTCATGGCGAGAGCTTGGATATCCAAACTCTATTGGACAAGGGCGCCGAGGCGATGCTCGACCCGTCCATCGTCCCAGATCCCAAGTTTGCTCCAAAGTTGGATGATATAGCATATACGCCGCGTACTCCAATAATGCAAACGATTCAAGAATCGTCGCCGAATAATATTTCGTTTATCAAAGCCCAGATTGTGAGCGATGATCAGGAGTTGCAGGATATTATCAATGATATGCGCAAGGCTACAACGCCGAAGTCTGCGACGCCAAAGTCTGCGACGCCAAAGTCTACAACGCCAAAGTCTACGACGCGGAGGACTCGAGCAGTGTCATTAAAAAATGTGCTTCCTTATCACTCAAAACCATGGTTAACACCTCTGGGTACGAGTGAACCTATCTCAGACTCTAGCTGGATTGGTTACAAGTATCAAGACGAAAACCAGAGTGGTAAGAGTGGAATGGCATGGCCTAAGCACTCCAAGGGCACCAATCAAAAGCCTAGCATCTCCCCAGGGTCATTTTAACAATACACAAGAAGAGTCTTTTTGGTGAGTGGGCATGAGACATGTACTATAGTGTTGAGATTACGATTACAAGTTCTTTTTTGTCCTTGTTGGATTACGTGGATAAAATTATTCTGGCTGTTACTGTTACGGCTTGGAGTTGGTTGTGTATGAGCAACGATGTTTTGTTTTTTGGGGCGCGGTCATGAATCTATGGTAAAAGGCTGTTCATGTATTTATATATCTGCGGTTATGAACGTACGAGTAGAATGATGAGAGTATATGCGCACATGTATTGTCAAGGATACACCAGTTCTGATGGACCCTATTCACTTTGTTCTACCAAATGAGCTGATAAGAGGACAACACCTGCACCGTAGGATATTTACTGGGACATTGTACAGAGAGTTACATAGATTCAAGCTGTAGATCCCTTGTCCAGCTGTATTTCGGGATCTGGCGTGCATATTAAGGTGGGTTCGTAGTTCATCGGGCATCTTGGAATAGATTGTTTGGGGCTGTCAAATCTACTAGCAGCCCAGTCCCCACTACTCGAACTCTCACGCGAGCCATAATGGCTAATTATCAATATCTCTAGCCAATCACAACTGGCGTATTTTTTCTTTCTTTTTTTTTTTTTTGTTGTTTCCATTTGCTTGTGACGTAGCTCCGACGCCGGCTCTGTGCACTGAGTCGCCAGCGGGAATTGAAGCCATCGCCAGCATCAACGTGCGTCCTTGCCTATTCGCTGCTGACGCTCGATCGCCTGCAACGACCTCTTTGGGATCATCAATTCCGGTTCAAGGCTACAGCCATCAACCATGACGGCACTTGTACGTTTCTCTACCCATCATTGGCGCCCCATCTCGTGCAGATGCCTCGTCCAAACCTCGAAGAAATTTGACTGACAGCGGAATTTCTTCAGCGGAGAGCCATCTCTTTCAATGCCTCCGCCCTTGCGGCGCGACAGGCTCGAACCTCGATTACACGCTCACGATTGCTGTTGGCATCTAGTACTCAGTTCCGTACCTACACCCTGTCCAGCCCCCGACGGCAACAGGCCTTCCAGTCGCAAATCGATGGCACTCCCAGATCATCTGTCCTCCAGTCCTCTCTGGGCGCCGCTCCGGCCAACCCGCAGACACTTACCGAGAAGATTGTACAACTTCACGCAGATGGCCTTCTCGAAGGGAGAAGAGTCAAGGCTGGAGATTATATTACGTTGCGGTTGGTCTATACCTTGTCAGGATACTAAGCAGTCGAGCTAAACACTCTGAAATAGGCCCCATAAGAGCATGACGCACGATAATTCATGGCCGGTCATTACAAAGTAGGGACACTTGACTGACTCGTTGTAATGGCACAATAACTAAGCTGTCTAGGTACATGGAAATGGGTGCCACCTCGGTCAAGGATAACCGCCAGGTCGTCATGACGTACGCAGTCTTGCTTCTTCCAATTGAGCTCGTATTCACTGTCTAATCCTTCACAGGCTTGATCATGACGTTCAGAATAACTCTGAACAAAATCTACGCAAATACCGCTTGATCGAAGAGTTTGCCAACACGCACGGCATCGACTTTTGTATGTTAGCACTACCGGGACCCCCCCATCCCCAAGATATCCATTTGAAGCGCGTGGAACTGACTTGATAGACCCCGCTAAACACGGAATTGGGCACCAAATTATGATTGAAGAAGGCTATGCCTGGCCAGGAACCGTCAGTGGTCAGTTAACCCAAACCCCGTACCGTCCTGTGCCCACTTCTAATGCCATATTCAGTTGCCAGTGATAGTCACTCGAACATGTACGGTGGTATTGGGTGTCTCGGCACAGCCATCGTCCGCTCAGACGCTGCAAGTGTCCTGGCAACCTCGACGGTGTTCTGGCAAATCCCCCCGACCGTGAAAATCACTTTCACGGGCGTCCTGCCTCCGGGGGTCACAGGCAAAGACACAATCATAGCCCTATGCGCTTTGCTTAATAAAGATGACGTGCTCAACATGTGCGTGGAGTTCACTGGGTCTGAGCAGACTCTGGCAAGCATTCCAATTTCCGAACGCTTGACAATCGCCAACATGACTACCGAATGGGGCGCGCTATCAGGTCCAACCTCTTTTCCGCCGCTTTCGTTGAGTTACTAACGTGTATGAGTAGGATTATTCCCTGTTGATGACAAGCTCATCTCATGGTACCGCGCCAGAGCCACACTCGCAGCCATGTCTAACAGTCCTACCAAGGATCGGATAAATCACGAGCGGATTGATAAGCTTTTGGAGAACCCCATGGTTGCTGATCCTGGTGCTAAATATGCCAAGGAATTCTATTTCAACCTGTAAGAACTCTTGTCTCATTCAAAGTGGTCACTCTAACAAGGCCACAGATCCACCCTCTCACCCTTTGTTGCTGGTCCCAACTCTGTCAAGGTTGCCAACCCTGTTAAGAACCTCGAGGCTCAGGATATCGCTGTAGACAAGGCGTATCTTCTGAGTTGCACCAACGGTAGAAGTGAGGATTTCGCTGCTGCTGCTCGTGTATTCCGGGAGGCTGGTAAGGATGGCAAGCCTGCCAAGGTTCATCCTCGCGTCAAGTTCTATCTTGCACCTGCGTCTTTGGCTGAACAGAAGATGGCGGAAGACGCGGGAGACTGGCAGGTTCTCGAGCAATCGGGGGCTCAGCTACTCCCAGCTGGCTGTGGTCCTTGCATTGGTCTAGTAAGTTATATACGTGGTTAATGCAATATGTTGGAGATTCCAGTGCTAATAAAGGCTACAGGGTACCGTATGTGGAAGACACTACATGTTCTAGAGGTCTGTGTTCAGTGCTGATCATTGATATAGGGCTTACTTGAGGAAGGCGAGGTGGGTATTTCCGCGAGCAACAGAAACTATAAAGGCCGCATGGGTAACTCGAGTCTGTGGTTCCAAATTTTTATACGATGCTAATGTGCTGTCTGTAGGAAGTCCCAAGGCACTGTGTTATCTCGCCAGCCCCGAGGTCGTCGCAGCCAGTGCTATTCAGGGTAAAATTGCTAGCCCTGGCTGGTACCAAAAGCCCGAGGGCGTCGAGAAAGTAGTCTTTGGTGAGGGGAGCGGTGACTTTGTTGCCGACAAAGCTCGCGCCGTTGGAGATGCCTTTGACAAAATCCTTGGTGAGATGGAGAGCTTGATTGGCGCTGCTGAAGGCGCTGCTGAGGAATCGGCAAGCCCAGCGGCCACTGAAGAAGAGACATTGACCACCGTCGTCCCGGGCTTCCCCGAGAGGATTGAAGGCGAAATCGTTTTCTGTGAGTGGCCTTCCATGCGTTTATGAAGTCATTTATTAACTGAAGCAGGCGATAATGACAACATCAACACTGATGGCATCTACCCAGGGAAATACACTTACCAGGATGGCATGACCACAGAGCAAATGGCCAAGGTGTGCATGGAGAACTACGATACCGAGTTTGGCAACATTATCAAGCCGAATGATGTTCTGGTAACCGGATTTAACTTTGGGTGTGGAAGCTCCCGAGAGCAGGCAGCCACATCTATCCTAGCCAAGCAGATTCCTCTCGTGGTTGCAGGTAGCTTCGGCAACATCTTCGGTCGCAACAGTGAGCTTTCCTTGAGGCTCTCCAGACTTTCCTTGTAATGTCAAATAACTAATGAAAAACTTTTAGGTATCAACAACGCTCTTCTTGGAATTGAAATCCCGAAGCTGATTGAGCGGCTTCGTGAAGCGTACAAGGATGACGCGGAGAAGCCTCTAACTCGTCGCACGGGCTGGAAGCTGCTGTGGGACGTCCGCCGATCTAAAGTCACCATTACGGAGCAAGATGGCTCTTCCTGGGAGCAAAAAGTTGGAGAGATGCCTCCCAGTGTTCAAGAGATTGTCGCCAAGGGAGGTGTGGTGAAGTGGGTGCAGTCGAAAATGCAGGCTTAAAGTGTGTGACTGGTGTTGGGAAGAGTTGTGTGCAATTTATATCACTGTGTATTATTTCATGTTGACGGATAAAAACGGCGCTTGGGATTTTGATGATGAAGTCAATGTCGGCTATATCTTAGGTACACAAGCTGGATATGTAGTTTGCATAGACATGTAGCTGAGGGAGTAGATCGGCATGTAAGTTAATGCTTGTTCTTGCGTATAGAGCAAATGAATCATGCAACAGGTTGTTAACATTTGGATCTGGGAAGTTGTATATTTATAATAATTTTTATTATTTTAAATATTATGATTATTTTTAATATTTTAAATAAGTATTTATTATTATTTATTAATAATGAATTAATATTTTTACTTAAAAATATAATCTTATTTAAAAATATAATTTGGGATTTATATAATACTTTTATTAATAATATATTAATTAATTATAATAAGCTTCTTAAGTTATATAATAATATTCTTTTAGTAAAATAAAATATTAAATAAAATTTTAATAAAAAATAGAACCTTAATTAATATTTTTTAATATTATTAAAATAAACTTAATAAATAATTTATTAATATATAAAGTAATTATTAAAATATATTAATTATTATAATTTAATAAATAACTTTAGTTATTATTAATATTATAATTTAATTTTAATTCTATAATAATATAAAGGTTATATTTATTATTAAGAGGTTTAGTAAAGTTATAATAACTAAGTTAAAAAAAAGCTATGCCTTAGCTTTTAGATATAATAATATATTATAATTTTTTAATTAAATATTAAAAAACCTTAATTTATTAAGCCCCTAAAATACTTTAATTAAATAAATATAACTTTAATATTTAATTTAAAATTACTAAAGTTTATAAAAATAATAATAATTATATATAAAGGAGGTTATATTTATTATCAAGAGGTTTAGTAAAGCTACAATAGCTAAGTCAAAGGAAAGCTATATAATAATTATATATAAGGGTTTATTTCTAAAGACTTTAATAATTAAAGTGAAATAAAATAAAGCCTTTATAAATACTATTAAAATAAAGTAAATATATTAAATTTTTAATAATAATTCACTATTATTAATATAACTAAATAAATATTTTATAATTATAATATAAAATAAATATATTTTCTAATTTATATTTTATAATTATATAAATATAAATTTATTAACAAATATTTATTAATATTTTTTTATTATATTAAAAAATTAAATATTATATAATTATTTAAAAAGCTTATATATACTTAAGAATAAATAATTAATAAAGTCTTGCTATTTTCACTATAGCGTTTTGCTATTTTTACTATAGTTGCAATAAGTGGGGATATTTCCAAAACTACTTAAGTTTTCAACTATAGTAAATAAAGCTTAGAAAATTAAAATAAAATATTCAAAAAATATTTATAGGTTGATTATTATGTAATTTATATTAAGCTTTTTTAAAAAAGTAATTTTATATTATTACTTTAGTAGATTTAAACCTAAATATATATAAAAGAATTTAGTTAGTTATTTATAAGTGAAAATTAAAAAGTAAATATTTTTTATAGATTTTATATAAGTTAAAAGCTTGTTTTTAAAAATTATCTTAATTTATATAAGTAAATATATAAGTTGTTAAATTAAGCTTTTTACTATATATAAAAATAACATAAATATAATAAATATATTATAATACTATTTTAATATTTAATAATTAAAATAGAATTTTTAAAATATTATTTATATTTTTAAATAGCTAGTCTTAGCTATTTATAACTATAGTATATTTTTTGGAATTTTGGGATTTGTCTTGCGCATAGGCTAGTATAGTGAAAATAGTAATATACTATAGTGAAAATAGCAAGACCTAATTAATAATATAATATTAATATTTCTAAAAATATTATTAATATACTTTAAAATAAATACTTTGATAATTATAAAAATATTAAAAAATATACTTAAGTATTTAAGTAATACTTATAAAAGTTTAATTAAATATAATTAATTAAGAAATTATACTAAAACTTACTTAATTATAATTTTTAATAATTTAAAACTTAAGTTTTTTTTATTTTTACTTTAATATTTATTAAAATTATAAAATAATTAATTATAATAAAAGTATTAGCTCTCTTAAGTATAAAAAATAAACTACTTAAAAAATTTAATTATAAAAAAACTATTATATATAATAATTTTTTTCTTAATTTTCTTACTTAGTATTAAAGCACTAGTTACTAAGGGAAAGTAAAAAAGTTAAAAAGGGAATTAAATAGTAACTAGCTATACTCTAGCAACTAAGTATATAATAAAAACTATATTTATTTCTAAACCCTCTTTATAAAAAGAAAGAAACCTCCCTTTTTATAAACTGTTTTTAGCCACAGAGTTATTATTATAAAATATAAAGTAAATAAGTTAAGCAAGTAGCAAAAGGTAAGTATATTAATAATATAAAACTTAAGCTTATATTTTTAATAAAGTATATATATAGTAATTATATCTCTCCTAAGTATAAAAAATAAACTACCTAAAAAAAACTAATTATAAAAAAGCCTTTATATATAGTAATAGCCTTTAATTAATTAGCTAGTTTAATTAGCTATATATATATAACTGCGTAAATTTTACTTACTATTTTAGGCTATTTTATTAGCTTTTTTAATAATTTTCTTAATCCCTTTGCTTAGCTTAGGGTTTTTAGTACCCTTTAGCTAGTTTAGCTTATACTTTGCCTTACTTAGCTTTAGTCTTTCTTTCTTTAGAGCTTTTAATTATAAGTCTATAATTTTATTAATTATAGATTTAGCTATTTGCTTAGCTATTTTATTAAGTAGTTAGGGTGTATGGTTTTATTAAGTAGTTTTTTAATCTTAAAAGCGTTATATATATAATTTATTTTTAAGGATTATTACTGCTTTTTATAACTTAATAAAATAATTTTATTTAGTCTAGTTAAATTATTAAATTATAAGTTATAGGCTTAAAGCTTATATTATACTTAAACTTTATTATTTAGGTCTTTTTATATATTTTAAGTTTAGTCTTAAACCTTAATTAGTTATATTTTATAGCCTAAATTTTTAAAGTTTAACTTAGTTAGCTATAATTAATTAAGTTAAGCTATAAATTAATTCTAGATTTTAAACTAAAGGCTGGGGCATAGTCTTCCTTTAACCTAGCTATTATAGCTTTACTAAACCTTTTAATAATAAATATAACCTTTATAGTAATTATATAAAGACTTAGCTATAATACCTTAGTATTATATATATAATTATAATACCTTTAAAATTTTATTATAATTATTCTCCTTTTTTATTATAATTATTTTAATTAAAAAATATAAGTAATTTTTAATATAATTAAAGAAAAGTATATTATTATAATATAATACCCTATATAATAAATTTTATAATTATTTATTATAATATATTATAAAGTATAAATTATAATATTTTTCTTATATATTTTTTATAATTTTACTTTTTTATTAATTATATTTTATATAATATTACTTTTTAATACTAAAAATTCTTTTTAATAAATAATAATTACTAAAAATATAATATTATATTAACTATTTATTAATAAAACCTTATTTTATTAACTTAATATTATTATATTATATTTTTTTTATATATTACTAAAGAAAAATAATACTTTAATACTTTTACTAAATAAAAATTATATTATATATAAATTTATATATATTAGTAATAATATATATACTATTTTAAAATTAACTTTAAAGTTAACTTTAATAACCTTAAAAAAACTTTAGGAAATTATTTTAATATATTTACTTTTATTAATTATACTTAAATTAAGCTAAGTTTAGCTTAATATTTTTAATATATTTATAATAAAAATAATTATATTTTATAAATAATTTAAATAAGTTTAGTTTTTTACTAAGGTTTTATTAATATATTACTTAAGTATAAGCCCTTAGCTTTTTTAAAATACTTAGCTTATTAATTTAATAAATAACTTTATATTATTTATTATTTTATTATTTTCCTTAATATTTATAATTTAATTAATATTAATATAAGTAAAGTAGTTTAAAAGTTTTTTTATAAAAATTATATTATTTTTATAATAATTTTAATAAATTTTTATAAAATATTTAATTACTTTAATTAAATATATTAAGTAATTTATAAAATTTTAAATATTAAAAAAGTTATTATTAAAGGCTTATATTATTATTATTAATTTATAATATAATAATATTAATTTATATTAATAAAAGTTTTTTATTTTATTAAGTATATTTTTTTTATTATAAATAATAAAGTTTTATTATAAAATTAGTAAAGTTTTATTAATATATTTTATATATTAAATAATTATAATTATTAAAAATTAAGTTAAAATAACTTATTAAAAAAAAATAAAGTAATAAAATTATTAAAAGTTTTTATATATTAATATTAATAATTTAAAGTATATTTCTTAATAAATTACTTTATAAATAATAAATAATATTATTTAGGCTATAATTAAATTAAAATAAAGTTTACCTTAAGTAATTAAAAATACTTATATAAATAATCTTCTTAATAATTTAAAAAAATTATAATTAAATATTACTTTTATATTAGCTAAGCCTTAGGACCCTTAGTATAAGTTTTAAATTTAAGCTTATTTATTTATTAAGTATTTTTATAAAATTCCCTAAATTTAAAATAAGATTTCCTTTTTTTATAAATTAAAAATTAAGTTATTTTTTATATTTTTTAAAATTAGCCTTTTTACCTTAATATTAATATATTTTTTATTATATTTTAGTTATATATTAATAATATAATATAATATTATATTAGTAATTTTTATAAATTTTTTATATTTCCCTTAAGGATTTATTAATTATATTTTAAAAATTATTTTTTTTATTTAACTAAGTAATATTTTTTTTTTAATTTAATATACTTTAATTTCTTTAATTTCTTATTTACTAAAGGAGTTTTTTAAGTTTAATATTATTAAGGATTTAACTTAGC